CTATATTGTAAGGCAGGGTTCTGACAGATGCAGTTGGTCGTTTTCCTCCAAACTTACATGAGTAATCTCGCTTTACACCGAGCTGGTCCCTCTCTTAGTTCAGATGACTTCGACCCTGTGTGAGTTACATGTTTCATGCTATCTGTTTTCAGAGTTGCCCTGCCCAGCTGTGGGCTTGTGGCATTTCGTGATGGTCTTTTCTTGTTAGACTGTGGGACCTGGAGGAGCAAGTATGGGTACATGGTGTTCCCCACAGCCTGAGACGGCAGTGGTCTAGGGCAGTGGTCCCCAACCTTCCTGGCACCAGGAACCAATGCTCTTATGAGAATCTAATGCCTGATGATCCGAGGTGGAGCTGAGGCGGTGATGCTGGCGCTGGGGAGCGACCGCAAATACAGACGAAGCCTCTCTTGCTCGCTACCGCTCACCTCCTGCAGTGAAGCCTGGTTTCTAACAGGCCACAGCCGGTACTGCTCCATGGCCTGGGAGTTGGAGACCTCTGGTCTCGGTGAAAGGCAGAGGGGTCCAGCTGATGCCGAAGTGGGGGAAGTGCTGTGTTCGATGTGGGAATTGACGCTGATTTGCCTACCTGCATTTCTAGTCTAGGCAAAGAGGATGCCGTGGTTAAGATACAGGGCAGTGGGAGAGAGCAGAGAGGGAGGACCAGCTCCCACCGCCTGACTCCCAGTGCAGCTCCCAGTGACTTGCATTCTCTGTGTCCTGGCCGAAGGCCCTTTCTGTGCGTGATAGTAATCTATATGCAGAATTTCAAAAACGTACCTTATCTGCCTTTAAAAATTTACCAAATCGCCTGCAGTTGGTAAACATAATTCAGTGTATATGCTCTGGATTGTAGGAAAGTAAATTCTTGTTAATCGATGACTCAGTTGAAGAATGTGACCTTAAACTCTATAATGGAGGGTGATTAATGAGAACAGATATCGCTCCAGCTATTTCAACAGTGCCTGCAGCGAACACCAGAATGTTTGAAGAAAGGCCATCTTTGGTTCCCCTTTCGCCTCCTAGCTCCCTGATGGCTCAGAGATACCACTTCCTCCCATTTTACTGGGCAAACTGGGCTCCGACCCCCAGAAGAAGACAGTGTGTGTGTATGGACATCTGGACGTGCAGCCGGCAGCCTTGGAGGATGGCTGGGACAGCGAGCCCTTCACCCTGGTGGAGCGAGACGGTGAGGCCCCTGCTGAGGAGCACCTGTGCGGCTTCGCTGAAGCCAGGTCGTGGTGGTCTCCTGGGTGCCAGCTTCCCAGAACAGATGGCCTTCACGGAACGTAGAAGTCCGGTCCCCACAGATTTTGGCAGGTGTTCCGGTCCTGGAAACGTCACAAAAACCCCTGTCCTTGAGGAAACGAGGTCTCGTGGCCTTGGGTCAGCTACGCTTCCCTCTGTTGCTGGCAGGTCTCAGAAAACCGTCAGAACTGCGGCCTGTAGCTTCTCCCACTCCCCCGGGCCCCCCAGCTCCCCTTCCCCACTCC